CACGTCAAAATTAAGATAGAGCAAAATGGAATGGCACTACACGCTGAAAATACAACTACTTTCTTGTATATCCTGAAATAAAGGTAAGTACTAATTTATGCAGAAAAGATACATGATTTGATCACCATTTCCATTTACTTTTTTCTCAGTCCAGATTTAGTTGTCATATGCCAATTCAAAATACACTATCATTGAAAATGGTTTCAAACGAATAGGTGTATAATTAAATAATGATGGGCAATGGAAATAAACTTCACAAATTTGTCAGACCACATCAATCCACATTGCAAATCATTATATGGATTACTCCGTATAATTATTGATTTTGATACATTAAGGGACAATATTTTCTAGGAAAGAGTAAAAGATGAGATATTATGTGACCTATCAGCTGTTGCAAGTAATGTTCAGCTTCGAGGAAGAACATAAGCGCAACCAAAACAAGGAGATAGAAGATTATTATACATATGGTGCAACCTTACAAAATATTTACTATATGCTCTTCTTTTTTAATTTAATTTTTTTTTTTTTGGGGGGGGGATGGGGTGGGAGATGAGCTGCAAGCACAAAAATGAAAACAAATACTGCAGACAGAAAAAAGGAACCACAAAAAAATCAGTGGTAAGATAGAAACCTGATGATTGTTTTCAGCAGTCCAAAAAATGTCAACCCCTGCAAAAAAAGGTTACAGATTTCAGAAACAATTTTTGAAGGATGTAGAATGTGCAAGTGGACCAATAGATAGGCAAAACTAGTAAAAAATACACCAATACTACCTCAAACACCAGGCGCGCGTCCCTTAAAAATAGAATGCTAGTAATTGCTGCATAATAAAAATTAACATTTCAGAAATCAAATGGAAACGTTATGGAGGTGATAAGGATGATTATATGGAAAATTAATTTATTATTAGCAGGATTGAGCCAGTCAACAAACAAAGCAAAAACTTAATCTTACATTAGAAGTTAGAAGAATGCATTTCCATGTCAAACTAAAGCATTTATATACAGTATTATTATTGTAAGATATATTGACCTAATAAAACAATTAATTACAATTCTTTTTACATATTTACTGCCTGCCTGTACAAAGCTAGATTTTTTGCTAATTGCAACAGCTACCTAGACTGCATGCCTTCCTTACAAACTAGCAATTCACTTCATAAAAATGTTTGGCTTCTTCACTTTACAGACCACATTAGGTCTAAAGATTGCAAGTACCAAATCAAAAAAAGAAACAATCATTTGCGACATAGTCAGGTCACTCAGGTGGGCTGTGCCTGAGAGTGTGCACTGTGCAGCTACTTGCTGCATCCTCAAGAGGTCAATGCAGTCAACTGCAGTTTGGTGAATAGTTTTGCAATTGAAACTTAATACCTTCTGCAAAGATATTGATATAACAAACTTAGTTTTGATGATTTGATTGTTCAGATCAACTATAGGCACAATATGACTATATGAGCAGTTTATTTTGCCTTTCATCAATTCTCCTTGTTTGGAGCAGGGGTAAAGACTATAAATAAAGGCAAAACTATTCCAAAAAAAAAAAAAAAAAAAAGGATCCACAGAATTTCAAAGGCAAACAATGTAAGACTGAACCAGTGTTAAAATCCAAAGTTTTACGTAGTGTCACACAGATAAAATATGCCAACTAAATACTAACCTGCCTGTCCTTTCAAAGTCGTATCACTAAACTCCCCTTTCCTCCATGATCTTAGACTTGATACGCTCAATGCCAAAAGAATACCACCAAGGATCACACCAAACCTAATGGACGAAAGGCTTCCAGTTATCATAAAGTTAAGGAAGCCACCAGCAGACAGAATTGTCCCTACAAATTAAAAAGTATATGAGAGATCATTCAAGGAAAGAATGAAATATACAGTAAAAAGTATATGAGAGATCATTCAAGGAAAGAATGAAATATACAGTAAATACAAAATTAAACTAATGCATGGAGAAGCAAACATGCATTGGAGTCATTGGACTATGAAAGTTCCAAACAATCCAGGATTCTGAGAACAAATGACGAAATTGAAAACTTTGATGCATAAATATGATTGACAACATGCACATTCCAGACACATAATCTTGAGACCAAATAAAAATTGTGAACTTTGATACATAAAATGTGATTGACAGCATGCACATCCTAGACATAATAATCTCATCAGAGTAAATTAACTCTATTGCTAGAAATCTGCTTTATTTGAACATCCAAGTGAATGTCATACCATACGGTATCCCTATATAGAAATCACGGATTTTAGATACATCGTCTAGATCACGAGCAGAAGCAAAGGTCTCCACTACATCCTTCACAGGTTCCGGGGAGTTCTCTGCTGCTGTAGCAAGATATTGTCTACCCTCTTCACTCAACTCTATTGTCATTACACTTAAATCCTGCCTCGCTTGATCAGCTTGAATCTTCAATTTATCGGCAGTGTCCTTCAGTGTCACAACTGCCTTTTTCATATATACTTCATATGCTTCTTGTGAAACACTTTGTAACTTTAAGGCTTGCTCTTTAAAAGATGCTAAAGCTTGCTCCCAAGCTTCCTGAGACGCTTTACCACCTTTGTTAATATCATCCTTCTCCGTATCAATTTCCGCTTCAGAGGACTTCAAAGTTCAGAAGCATTCAATAAAACATGAGAAGTCAATAGAAAGGATCAAGTTCATGCAGAAATAAAGTATATATCAAAATAAAGGACACCAAAAAAAGAAGAGAGCTGATGTGCATTATGTTCTACCATGACATCCCAACTAACACAGTTGCCAAAAGAAAGTCAATAGTTACATGGTGACATTGTAGCTTTCACAATACAACAAAGGTAAGAAGAGCTTAAATTGGAAAACAAAATAACAAGCTGGATGCACAGCAAGTTTAAAACATAAATAATTGAGATGGATACTTTGCAGCATAGAGAAGAGGATAGTATATTACAGTGCATTAACTGCACATAAGTTGCACTATTCACAAAATAGTTATAGCATTAATACAATATGTAGATAGACATTCTACGTAAAAATAATAATTAAAAATGCCCTACAAAAACCAACCACAGGAACAAAGATTAATAAATAGCTAGATCAGCTAAGAACTATGTACTATTTCCAGTAACATATATCAAACTGATCATAATGAGTGATATAATGTGGTTTTCTACGCAATAAACTGGCACTAAAGCCATCTTAAATTGGGCATCATTCAAGTTATACAACAGCAATGAGGAGGAGAAAATGATCAATTTTAAAACCACCCATTTCGGCTCCAATTAGCAGCTCATTTGCTTCATTGACCTTCACCTTTCAAGTTCTCAGAAGACGTTGCCACATTTGATAACAAAATGATTTCATTAGAGGCTCATGAAGATTACACGCACCAATTGGTGGATGCAAATATCTATCATCTCTAGGTCGTAACCACCCTTTTGGGTCCTAGAATATGAATATCAAATACGAAGTACATCAAATGTTACTATCAACTTCCTGCCTACCTTTTCCCTTCATAATCAGGGCATGAGAGAGAGAATCCCAACTACCAAAGTGGAAGCAAAGGCCAGTTCAAGCCCAACTGTTACTCATTTGATTCACATTTTAATTTTTATTAGGGGTGCGGGGAAGTCAAGAGCAACGGTTAAAAGCCTTTGGAAATGATCGAGCCCTAAGCAACCTTATTGGCGCAGAGTCGGGGACCCAATTCTTCAAGAGACATAACAATGTAATTACCATCCAAATGTTCAATTCACCTGATATCTCCATTATCCAATAATCCAAAAATCTATCTATATTCATGAATTGATTAATCAACTGACCTACATTTCCCAATCACATTACTCACAGTAGTACCAATTCATCAAAAATTGCATTTCATTCATCCAACGTTAACTTTCTCTCAATCAAAAAACCTCCATTTTGTTCAATCAAAACCCTCCAAACAGTACAATAATCATACCAAAAAAGTTTTAACAATACAATAAATACAACAAAAAAAACACTCAAAATTCCAGACATTATAACTCAATAAAACGCTAAAAAATATAAACTCACAGATTCTTCGTGAGAAGCAGCAAAAACAACGGAAAGGTTCTTCTTCTGCCGATATCGACTCGGTAAGCAGAATCCAGTTAACCCCTTCGGCAACGACGACGCCGCCATACCAGCAACCAGCAACGCTCTTCGACGACGATGAATTGATTCAAACCGCACAGAAAACGACGACGTAGGCGGAGCAAACGAAAAGGACGCCATTGATGAAGGAGAAAGCTTATTCTTCAATGCAATTCCAACCAAATTAGGGTTAGGGTTAGGGTTAGGGTTAGGGTTTGTGAGAGAGAAACATTCAGGAGTCATCATAATTTAGGTGTAAAATTGTAATTGTTGTACCAGAAAAATTTAAAAAATGAGGAAAATGGAGGAAAGAGGAAAGGAAGGAAGGTGAGTTTGAGTAGGTAACGGTAAGTATAAAAAGGTTGAAGAAAGGAAGGAATGAAGGAACCCTGAGTTTTTTTTTTTTTTTGTGAGAGTGCCAAACTTGCGCCCTCCCTCTGATGTGGAAAACTGAGAGTGAGGAGAGAGAAAAGTATTTCTTTCTTTCTGTTGTAATTTGACACGTAATCGTTTCTTTCTTGACATTTAATCAATTTGGGTCCCATTGATTTTACATCGGGTGCAATATTAGAGTAGCCCATTAGATGACCAAAATATCTTGGTAATGAAATTATTTATTATTATTCTATATTCCACCTTATCCATGACCAAATGTTATGACCAAGATCATTTTTAATACACCCAATGGTTGCCCTATAAAGTTTGGTCATGATTTTTTTTTCTCCTACTTTTACTATACTTTTACCATAATAAAGTTGGAAATAATTTGCTAGAACTATTATAATTAATGAAATAAATAATCGTTAATTAAGTAATTAATTTCTTAAATAATAATATTGTTAATATGGGATTCATTATGACATTTATTACTTAGAACTAGACAATAGTTATACTTTGTGATATAATTATTAATATGGAATTAAGAAAGATTGACTTAAATTAGAGCCTTAATATATAATAATTATAATACGTAATAATACAAGAACACTTCTCCAAAACAGCGAATTTAAAAAATCTTAAATATTATATAAAAAAAATTATTTATAAAATAAATTGAGCACACTTAACCAAAGTAAAAAAAAAAAACTCTTAAACTGATGATAAAACATTTGTTACTGCCTAGGAACCCCATACTTACTCCACAAATGCTGTACTAATTCTGACTTGAGGATCGTATGCATAAGTTCATCATGAACACGAGCTATATTAGACATGTAAGTCCTTAAACTTGTTTCTAACACCCCCAAATCTCTCTCTACGTAAATTGTAGAAAAATACGTATAAATACCGTAGAGATAGGTTTGGGCGTATTACCGCCGCGTATAACGCAAGGCTTATACAAAAATACTTTTGCAGCGGAAAACTTTATTCTTTATTAAATAACCATAATAAAATTCGTTCATATTTCGTGACACAAAAATGACTCAAACTTTTCCTAGCTAGGTGAAATTCCCGTGGACTCCGTATGCATCAATTAATTTCCACCTGAAAAATTCACCTGCTTACCATAAATGATAAACAGGGCAAAGCCAAAACAAAAGCACGTATTAGCAAAGTATGCTAAGTAAGTCATGTGTAAGATAAGTAAAACGTAATTTAAATCATTTTCGTTTAATTAATAAAAGAAATACCAATGTCGTATTCAATAAAACTTTTTCAATCCAATTCTTTTAATACGAATTAAAACTCAATCGATTCATTCCAACCAATTCCTCACTAAGTGTGCACACCCCCCAAGTGGTCTACTTTATAATCAAAGGCCAAACTTGAGGAAAGACTAGGTCATGCAAAGTCCATAGTCTTCTCTAAACCATTCCCTAAGTGGGATTCAACATATCGATTGATTTATTTAAAAATTCGTCTTTAAAAAAAATCCATCACACTTACATAACAACAAACTTGCAAATCATTTCCAATAATTTTCCAATCACAATTTAAGGTCCTTTTGATTCAAATCCAAATCATTTAATTCAATCCGTCATGATTTCATAATTTAGTACGGAACATAATATCACAAATTCATACGAAACATAAAACATGATTTCATACGGAATGTAATAAAATATGATTTAGTACGGAACATAATAATTTATAGACTCATAATAGATTATAGTTTTATACGGAACATAAATTATAGTTTCACAATTAAAATTTTATACGCAATAAATTATAGTTTCATACGATCAAAAAATGTAGTTCCATAATCAACTTTCGAAGGTATCAAACCACATAACGTACCTTGATCAATCACGAGCGATTCACAACTACTTCTCTAAATCACGAACACCCTACACATAATTATAACCTTAATTAATATAAGGTTATCAAGTAAACACAACAATTTAATTAAACTATCCTATATGTGCATGAATTAATTATCATTATATAAAATAATTTTCTGTTTATAATTTAAAGAATTTTCTGTTTTTATAAAATTAATTTGTATTAGAAATAATATTTAGGAAAATGATTAGTAATATAAATAAGATTAAGAGAAAGGAGGGATTAAAGGATGGTGGAAGAACCAATGCAAGGGTGGTTGCTGGTGGCTGGAGTGACGCCTGCTGGTGGCTGCCGGCAGCAGGTGGTCGCCGGAGGTGGTGGCCGTCGGTGGTGGTGGGAAAGGAGAGGAGAAACCGTGAGAACAAGGGGAAGAAGAAGAGAATTCTTGAGGTTTTTGGTGTGATTTTTGGGGTATATGAAAGGGGTATTTATAGGTGTTTAGGGGATGGGTTTATGGCATTTTAGGGTTTATAATTTATGGAAGTTTTTGATCATGAAATTCCTTTTGGTAGTTTTTAAGCTTGGAGTGCAAGGATGACATAGAATAAAATATTTTTATGTTTAAGAATGGAAGTAAAGAAATTTAAAGATTTTATTTTTAATAAAATAATTTAAAATCTTTGTAGAAAAACCATGAATGGCCGAAAATATTGAGCAAAATATTACTCAATATTTTCGGACCTATCATGTTAGTTTAGGGATTTTATAAAATAATTTATTTGTCAAAAACTAAAGATTTAATAAGAATAAAATCAAATTTTCTTGCTAGATTATTAGGGTGGCCGAATTCGGACAATACGAAGGTATAAAAATCAGATTTTTAATTATATAAAGTTTAAAATATTATTTGATCAATTTTGGAAATCATTTTATTTCATAAAAATAATTAATTTAGCAAATAATTAATAAAAATCAGATTTTTAATGTATAAAAATCCGAAAATATGCTTCATTAGTTTAGGAATTAATTTTATTTTATTAAAATACTTTTATTTAGAGAAAAATCAGATTTTTAATTAAAAAAAATTCGAAAATGATATTTATTTAGTTTTAGGAAATTAATTTCATTTCATGAAAATAATTAGTTTAGCAAGATATTAAGTAAAATTGGATTTTATTGGGAAAATCCGAAATTATATTTACAAAAATCAGATTTTTAAATTCGAAAATGCCTCTAATTTTATTAATTAATATAGTTTTGTTTTATTATTTATTTAATCAAAATACTATTTATAAAATTTTTAGTTTATCCATTTAATTAAAATAAATGATTTAGGCGCCAAAATTCAAATATCATTTTGGCTCCAAAACTGAAATACTCTTAAGTTAGAAAATACGGCGAAAATACGAGACTAAATACTCTTTAATTTAGAAAATGCCTTTCAAAAATACGGGGTATTACATTGTTGGTCGGTCGCGACTGTTGCTGAATTGAAAAGGTTTTTCAATATTTCTTCTGCTTGAAGACGAAGGAGCGGCCTGGTCATATTCATATGGATCATAATATGTTAAATATGTATCCCGCTCATCTTCGACGATCATGTTATGTATGATAATGCAAGCAATCATATTTTTTCCCAACATAGTAACATCCCGAACTAGAGCAGGATTACGAACTATTGCAAAACGAGCTTGTAGTACTCCAAAAGCACGTTCCACATCCTTCCGCCGACTCTCTTGCTTTTTGGCAAAAAAGACCTTCTTTTTCGTTTTGGGGAAGAGATATTGTGGGAATGAATGTTGCCCATAAAAGGTAAATACCATCAGTGAGATAATATCCCATATCATACTGGTGGCCATTAACAACATACGTAACAGGAGGTGCTCGACCTTCAAAAACATCATTAAATAATGGAGATCTATCTAGAACATTTATATCATTACATCTTCCAGGGGTCCCAAAAAAAGCATGCCAAATCCAAAGGTCTTGTGAAGCCACTGCTTCCAAAATCAAAGTGGGCTTATTAGCTCTTCCAGAAAACATGCCCTTCAATTTGAAAGGACAATTCTTCCATCGCCAGTTCATGCAATCAATGGATCCTATCATGCCTGGAAAACCTCAGCGCTCACCATCTCGTAACAATCTTGGGTCTTCTCAAGTATTCGTCACTGAAGTAAGAGACAACTCCTTCAACAAAATGTTGTAAAAGTCTCTCGCAAGAGAAGCACTAATACGTAGGTAGTCGTCAACGGAATCAGCCGCACCACCGTATGCAAGCAACCTCATAGCAGCGGTACATTATTGTAGAGCTGATTCCCCTAATTTACCAGTGGCATATGGTCTTTGTTGAAAAAACTGATGACGTTCTTCTAAAGTTTGCATTATACGAAGAAAGACATGATTTCTCATGCGAAATCTACAACGGAACAAGTTTAGAGGGTAAACCGGTTGGTCAGAAAAGTAGTCGTTCCATAGACGGCTATGTCCATCTTCACGATCCCTTTCAATCAAGGTCCTTGGTGCCCTCAGATCTTGATGGATCATTCGAAAGAATTCAATTGGGTTGGACGTTATGAATTCATCTATCATTCTATCAACCAAACGATTTTCTTGTCAGCGTCTCTCATAAAGATGGTCGGAGTCATCATCCGAATTTCGGAGGTTGTGGTTGGTAGATGAATTGGAAGAATTAGAAGATGAGTTGGAAGAGTTAGAACTTTCATCAGACATATTTTAAGAAATTAATTTTTTTAAGAGCTAAGAAATGGGTTGTGTGAAGTGAAACTAATACGTACACCAATATATAGAATGATAATTGAAAAATATCAGTAATTTACATCAATATAGCTGTCATACATTATAACAATAATGTTTGATACTTTTTTCTGAAAAATTGCAATGACACTTTATCAGTGTTACATCTCATCACTTTGAAAACTTGCAGTTGACTTATGTGATCAGTGTTACATCTCATCAATGTCATTATTGTACTACTTTTCTTGAAGAGTAATTTCATTTAAGACAGTGAGAAATCACATCATATATAATGACAATACATTCATTAATATTAAAAACTTCATATATTACAATAATAATTCATTAAAATTTAAAACTACAACAACTTAAACAATATGAGTGTTGGAAAAAAAAAAAAGTAGGATCTAAACAAATAACTGACACTAGGACATTAAGTGAATACTTAATTAACTTGATGGGAATAAAATTTTCACTATATTGTTCCTTCTTTCTTGATCTTCTTCTGATAAGTATGGTTTTGCTTCCAGTATCTTGAACAATTCGAGATTGATTTTTCGTTGCTTTCGTGCTTCCCTATCCCTTTCTAGTTGAGCATATTCAGCGTCTTTCTCTCTACGGTACTATATCTTTTTCATTTCCACCTCAGCTTCAGTTTGCCTTGCTAGGTTCATGTTTTTAAGAGTATCTAACCACTGTGGAAATAATTCAGAGGGAACATTATTAATGACTTTGCTCTTACCTTTACTTTTGTTAGAGTCATCACTATAGGGGAATCCGGGACAACCCATGTCACCGCTAGTTGGTGTTTCTGGGTTTGTCGAAGATGAATAGTTTCCAACTTCATTGATCCGTGATCTTTTGGAAACACTTGATTGTGTTGAAGTCTTTTGCTTACACGTCTCAACAAAATTTTCATTTTTGGCCCATGGTTCTTCGTTTTTAAAAATATCCCAAGCATGCTTGTCAAGAAAGACTGTACTGGTATTCTTTCTTGATTTGTCGTCCCTATAAATTTTACGCGCAAACTTAATAACATCATCGTCTGATTGCCCACTTCCTCTTTTATCCTCAGCTTGTGCGTAAGCACCAGCAAATTTTGAGCAATTGGCATTCAACCTTCTCCAACGACATCTAAGCTGTTCCAAACCCCTCAATCTTAATAAATCACCCTTCGTAATATTTTCAGTACCTTGTTCAAAACACCTCTCCCTATATACTCTAACATTATTAAAAATTTCTGTAATTTTCCCCCAAAATTCAGCCCCTTTTTGGTAAGTGTTAGTTTTTTTGTTTTTACTAACCTCCAACCAAACTCTTACAAGGACCTCATCTTCAGGGTGTGACCAAAAATTCCTTTGTCTTGATTATCTCCACCACTTGTATTGCCATCTCCATTATTTTCTTCAATTTCTTCAACCTCGTCATTATTATCATCATCTGAAGCAGCGATTGATCCATAAGTACAATTAAAATTCGAAAATGCACCTTCACCTGTACCCGTTGGAAAGTGATGTGACATAGGAAATGTTGTTTCATGTTCAGCAAACTGATAATTATGAACAGATACAAGTCCTTCAGATGGAAAAACATGTTGAGAATGAGAGGTATTTGGATTTTGTGGTTGCCATAAGGGGATTTCTGGGTTTGAAACTGAATTTGCAAAATTCATATTATACATTCCATAATTTGGAAATTGTGGGAAATTGGGAGTTTGGTGGTAGTTGACAGTTGGGATTAATTTGATTATTAGAAAATGAAGGTTGGCTATTTGGATTATTAACTTGTTGTGAAGGATTTCTTGATTTGGACAGATTTTTTTTTCTTATTGGATTTATCCATAACCAATATTTTTTTTTTGAGTTTAGTAGATAGGAAGATGTTTCTATTTGAAAGTGAGTAATTTAGGGAGATGAATAATTGTAAGAAAATACTTCAATATTAGACTCATTTTATAGAGAAAAAAAAAATAGCTGTTGGTATTATTATTATTATTTTTTTTTATTAAACTTCAGATATTTAAAATTATTACCGTTATAAAAATTATTACCGTTGGACTCACAAACAAATTACATACACTTTTTTCTCCCCATGCATTTTTACCGTTGTTTTGTCTTTTGTGATGACAATTTTGGGATGTCTTTTACACGTGGCATTGTAGGATGCTTTCCCAACTTTTTTGGTTTGGTCATTGCCAAGCCTTGGTCATCTCCAAACATTACTATTTTTTTTTTAATATATTTATGCAACTATGCCTTTCTCTCTCCTCATGACCATGACATTGGTCATCTGCTGGGTATACTCTTAGGATCTTGAGTTGTTAATGAGTCGATTTGAGCTAAGCCGAGATCCATAATGGTTTGGGGTAGCTTGAGTTCGATTTGTAGATTGGGTTGTTAATGAGCCAATTTGAGTCACGAGTTTTTCCGAACTTGAGCTCCTCCCACGCATACCAAATAGTAGATTGGTCAATAATACTCTTAGTGATGGGCATGAATCGGATCAAGTTGACACGAGAGTTGATTAGGCACAATAAGAAATGACTCAATCCAACAGTAACATTCCCCTAACGCAATGAGACGTGAGAGGCTCACTAGGTAGCCACAAGTTGTGCATAAAATCAATAACTATATACTAAAAGACACACCAGCAATGACACGTGTCATTTTCTGGTGTGTCCAAAAAAAAACCAAAAAAAAAACTATTTAGGAAACAAATCTTATATATAAATAGAAGATTAAAAAGATTTAATGTATCCTTGCATTATATATATTGATACCATAAGCTAAAGTTAAAAAAATGAAAATCAAATTCTTAACATAATTTGTGACATACATAGTGCTATATACTCTTACCATTTTTACAACAAGAATTTTTTTTTTTTTTTTTTAACTATTTGTGTATTTAATTATGTTTGAAAAGCTTCCTAGGAAAGATATGAATTTTTTTCTAAGCCAGTTGATTATTGAGAAGAAAAATAAATACCGCGTAAGAGGGAATGGATTAATAGTGTGTAAAAAGTAAATCTATTTACGAATTAAATACATTGTTGTAAGATATTCATTTGGTTAAAAGAGGAAATGATATAAATTAGTTAGTGAAATATATATAAATATACATATATGTGTATTTTAAATTATCTATTTTGCTAATAATAGACTCTTTTATAATTAATTCATTTTATAAAGTAGTAACTTAAATAGATTTTTTTTGTAATTAAATATAGTGTTAATAATTATAGACTAATTATTGAAAATTACCGTGCATGGTACAGGACCTAACCTAGTTTATTTTCAAAAGCTGACACAAGCATCACGGGCAACCTCACTTTTTACTACGAGTAGTCGAGTACCAATTAGATTATTTTACTCTAAGCACGACTTGTTCAACTTTGAGCACCAGACACGATGGCAGGATAGGTGCACCATGCACCCACAAAGCTCGGGCCTTGCCCATCTTCCTTTATAAGTTTACAGCTTCTTGCCCTGCCAGTGCCTCGCTGCATGCCTGCATCTTCTCCTCTCTCTTCCCTTCATTGAACCGTACTCTGAATCCTCCATTGAAGCAGCTTCTGAGCTTTCTGTCTTCCATTGAAGCAGCTTCCAAGGTAATTTATTTTTAATCATAGAATATCAATTTCGAAATCTAGTGTCAATCGTTAATCTAATTCAATTTAGGGTTCTTCTAAGGTGGATTATTGAACTATTATGCTTTGGTTGATGGAATTCAATTAAAATGACATATATATTTTAATTAATTGGCTGTTGAAAATTTGTTGTTTGTCGAATATTTGTAGCTCTCTCAGCTAGTTCGATTCAATCTAGTCAATGTTGTATTTAACCTACTAAAGATCAATTTTAATGATTTGTTTCAATTGATTTGTTTTCTTTACCTAGGCTGTACTTAATTACTGAATTTAGAGTTGCATTTGATTATATAATGAGGGCAAAAAGACGAGAGTAAGCTGTTTAGGCTGTACTCAATTACTGAATTTAGAGTTGCATTTGATTATATAATGAGGGCAAAAAAGTCGAGAGTAAGCTGTTTATATAGTGGAGAGAATTACAAAGCATGGACTTCAAGAAACTAGAATGATGGAGTATTTTAGAACCCGAATGATATTTTTTAATTTTTGTGTAAAAGTGATTATAAATTTATAAGAGTGGATTCACTAGATTATATACGATCGATTTGTTGCAAGTAACATATCTAAAACACAAGTGAAGCTTCTAACTTTTGTCTGGCCTATTCATTTTGGGGCATTTCTAGCTGTTTAGCTATAGGACACATTGCTTATCGAATTAGTTTAGCATGGAAGCATTAATAGGTCAATGATCTCTACTTAACTCTTTATTCTACCAGTACATTAACAATGTCATGTAAAACTTGTTGCTAATCTCCTTGTAGGTTAACAAACAAAATTTACGCGACATTGTTAATCTATGAGTAGACTAAGGAGTTAAGTGGAGATCATTGACCTATTAATGCTTCCGTGCTAAAGAATTGGAGCAACACATCTTATGCCTTCCATAGAAGTTAGTGTTAGTTCCAATCCTAAATCTAGTTCCCTGACTGAGGTAGTTTTAAAGTAAAAGGCACCTATTGTAGATCTTATTTGTTGAGCACTTTAATTATCTTACGGATTTAACACTTCAGTGACTATCACCTTTTGCCTTTTCTATATCTCCCCTTCAATATCCTTTCTCAACTTCAGCCAACCCCTTGCCATCGGTTTCTCTGCATCGATTTCACTACTGGGGCTTGCTCTTAATTCCATAGAAATTTTGCATAGGTTACTATTCTCGCACATGGAACCTTTATATGCCAACACATTCTCAGATTCATTGGGGTTTTTGCTGTACAGGTTTGTAGCTGATTTGATTTGCCTGTGTTTCTGGGCTGATAAACTGCTTGATGGAGTTGATCTGTTAGTTCACTCTCCCTTAACGTACTTGTGTTTGAAAGTAATGCTAGGAAGAACTTGTGATGTGTGTTTGAACTCTTTTTCCTAGCTCCCGTCTGTCTGAACAAAATAGAGCCGTAATTAGCTTTCTTCCTGTTTTCCTCTTGTATCTATGAAATTTTTTGAGACTCCTCCTTCAGCTTTGTTAAAACTCGAGTTGTTTGACTGTCTGTCTCTCTTGCTGTTGGATTAATGTTTTGTCGTATGTCATTAAGATCATTTATTAGCTGGACCAGAGTTTTCCCATTTAACTCCTTTTAATTGTCTATACTTCAGGTGCAGGGTGCAGGTGAAGATTGTGGAGTTTTTATTTTATAATGGTGAATGCTACCAAAGGACTCTTCGTTTCCTGGTATGATACAATAACTTGCTTGTGTATCATAATTTCTGTCATTGAAATGTAATTTGTGTGTGTGTGTGCGTGCACGCGCGCATGACAAAACACATTGCATAATTAAGTACCTGTGTATTAACTCTTCTTTCTCTAGTTTATGGTCCCTGGCTGCTACACTTTATCTAGGACCATAGATAGATCAAACAATACCACTAAGATATACTTGTATGCTATATGCCTATATCACAGGGTTTTTTTTTTTTTCTCCATATTGAAATGAAAATGGAGGTAATTCTTATCCTGCACTGTTTAGGCCATTTCAATAAGATTGTTGACCTTTTGTAAGCCCTTCTGTATCAGTTCCTTGATCAAAACAAAAGTAGCCAATGCCACACTGTGTGAGGCACTGCTACCACAAACTGGAATCACTGCATCAGAACTAAGTTGGCCATTTGTGACTGATCTTATAGATTGTAGACCAATCAATACCAGCCCTTGTGGAATAAGATTTGGCTGACTTTGCTTCCATATAGCATTCACTTCTGCTACACGGAGTGGATTGAACTATTGAAGTCCTTACTTTATCCTGTATCCAACTTACAAAATTCAATTTGCTCCAGTTGGGACTTCAATAGCTCAATCCACTCCATTGATACCCACTCTTCAGTTGCCTACAAAACACCATTGCTTTTTCATTGACTGACACCCACTCTTCAATTGCCTTGTATATGACGACTGGGTTCACTTTAGTTTGCCTGAAAACGATTTCGTTCCGGTGGATACAAATAGCACACAATAGCTTCCTCTATAAGTCTAATTTGTGTTATAAAATTTACAAAACTGGCTGTAATTTCTGCGCCTGTTGACCAATGTAATTTCTGCACCTGTTGACCAAGAAAATAGTTTCTGAGATATGCTTTCAACATTGCGTGTTCTCTTTATTAAGTGCATGTTGGATTGGATATATGTTTGAAATGCCCTGCTTGAATGTTTGATTTTCTGATCATTAGTTACAATGCACTCATGGAAATATCTGATTTTTTCATTACTAGGAAGGTCTAATCTTTATGTATTTCTCTCCTTGTTGTTCCATCTTTTAGCGACATACCCATGGCGCAGTTTATTATCAATATGAATGCTTCATTGCCAGCAAACCAGAAATTCATAATACATGTCCTTGATAATACTCACTTGTTTGTGCAACCTCACGCGGGTGAGATGATAAAAAGTGCCATTGCAGACTTCAGAGAGGCGAATACTTATGAAAAACCTGGTTAATGTTATTCGTTTGCCTTTTAATTTTTAACTTTTTTGTAAAAAAGGCTGTATAATAAATTTCCATAGTGAGTGATTGTTTACAATTTTCATCGTGAGTCCCATTGGGTGAATTACACTTTGTAAGCAATACATGATTCTACATTTTGTAAACTTTGTTTTTCCTTTCATTTTCTTGGTTTAGAAGAAAGCCTCAGTTTCCAAAACACTTCACCTTATTTTTATGATCTAATATTCTTATATGAAGGTCTAATTTGATTTCTTTGACGTATGCTAACACTATCCACCAGATATGTAATTTTAATAATTTATTTCAATACGAAATTATAGATATTTAGTGACAAAAATTTGCTAATAAAACAATACAATATGATTAGCCTTTATCTTTTTCTGAATTGGAATACGTAATAAATAACTAGATATTGAAATAAGTGAAACTAAACATAGCCTAAGCCCTACTACTGAAAGTCTAATATAGAGTTCAGCTTGGTGGATCCGGCTTTGGGATGAGTTTAGACCAGGATTCAGCTAATATCACTGCCTAGCAATCAGCTAATTCAAACCACTCAGCAAACACAACAATCTGAACTTTCAATCAGAAATTTAGCATTGAGGGACTAGTTGGCTTCATTGTCTCTGAGAATGCTGCAATCGGAATTCAACATATCTACATGCAAATTGCAAACTGCTGCGGCATATTTAGACAACTGGAGTTGTGAGGAGCTGAAGTCCGAACTGTGATATCATAGTTTCTCACTCTGTTAAATACGAGAAAGTAGCAATAAGAAAAAGGAAAATGTGCCTATCCTTTGGTGTCACTGAAATTTGACTTCATACTCATCTCAAGAACTTCAATGGTAACATTTGGACGATTGATATTTCCTTGTCATAATACTTTCCATTCTTCAATACCATAACAAGATCAGACAAAATAGAATGTAAGAATAGAAAATGAAGTTTGGCACACTACAGTAGTGAACATAAACAACAATAACCCAAACAAATAACAATCAACTCAAATTCCCCATAAGGAAATCCTGCCAAGTGAGTCAACTTCAAATTCGAGGCGTTCATAGATCTGAACATCACAAGTCTTGGAGGCTATATTAAATGTCAATAACTTCCCTATAACTTCTGCTTTCAAGTCATCCAAACAATAGCCAATACTCATACACTAACACTTGGGCATTATTCAGCAAATACTCCACTACTTGCAACTGATCTTTGTTTCCTCTGAAACAAAGTATTCCAATTTCCTCGAGGTGCTCCAACAAACAATTAGGAATGATGTCAGGCGGATTCCACTGGTATTTATCGCCATCATATAATTCATATATACCCTCCTGTAAATGTTAAGAAATAGCAAACATAAGATATGAAGTTATTTAGTTTTTAAAGTTAACATACTCTAGACACTGCCACTCACCATATCCAAAATAAGAACCTCCAAGCAAGGGGCGCTATGGAGCACTTTTGAAAAGCAGGTCCAACCCGAGAAAGCACTTAAATGCACTATAAGCCTTTTCAAATTTGGGAATGTTGGCCAGGTATAGCTGAGAGTTGATCCGAGAACCTTCATAGAGAGTGAATATAATTTGAAGGATACAACAAAATTAAAACCAGTATAAAAATCAGAAAACCAATTATTTTTCATTTTCTATTGCTTGTAACAAGCAAGAATTATGCTCAGAATTAATAATTAAGCACTAGGTACTTTAAAGCGAGGATATAACGAAAAGAAGAAACTTACACCTAAAGTATTCCAATTCAATATCAGGGCCTCAGCAGCAGCAACTCCCTTTAAGATTTCAAGGAGGCGGTTAATATGTTCAGGTCTTAAAAGTCCAAGACTAAAGACACAATAATTGACTTCAACAGTTTGGACCCGTACTAAATTCTTCAGCACAAACCGAGATATTAAGTCATCTTCTATGGAGAGGTGTTCAAGATCGGGTGTATTGATAGTAATAGTAAACTCATTTTCCCATGAGCCTCCCTGATCTTGCAGCCCAAAGCTTAATTTTCTTAAGGTAGAACTAGAAACATCAATTTTTAGCACTTTCGGGGAATCCACGTAGCCAAATAGATCCAGTTCTTCTAACACTGGGCAGCAAGACAAGAGTCGATTTACAACACCGTTGTGATCAGGGAATATAACATCAATATCAAGTAATTTGAGAAAAGGAAAACAAACAATTGACTCTGGTATATGAAAATCAAAACATGAATCAAGCTTGAGAGTTACTAGTGTGTTGCAAGAAAGAACGAATTGTGCTAAGGGGCGTTCTGGTAGCTCGTAAAAGTATTTGTTGATCCATAATTTTAACTTTTCCAATTTGTGGTTTAATACACAGCCAATCCATGCATTTAGACGACATAAGTCTATTGCACTAGGACACGCGAGGTCAAATGCTTGGAAGTTTAAAGGACTGCAATTTAGAAGCACATGCTTCACAAGATTTGAAAATTTATCAGGATCAGAATTAGCGCCACACAAACTAATACAAGTTATGCCTTTCCAAAGATACCTCCACCTTGAAGACAAAACGCTAGTTCTAATTGCTTCTTCTGTTCCAAGGAAAGATAGTATCTGAGCAATTACATGATATGGCAAATCACTTATTCTGTCTAATTGTTCCACAACTTCCTTCTTGTAACTTCCTTTCTGTATAAAGGGTCTCTTTTGTAAGCTCTTTAGTTCAGAATCCATTTAAATGTTAAATGCCTAAAAATAATTAGTCACAATGTTAAATCGAGTGGCAGTTATTAGCAACACTGATTAAACAACCATAAAGTAAGAATAAGATTAAACAAATCAGATACAAACATAAGAAATAAAGATCAGATAGAATTACAATATTCTGGGTTTGATTTGACCAAGCAATATCGAGAAATTGGTAACAACATTAATAAACACGAGTACAAAACAAAATAAGCCTCATTTTGAGTGCAGCCAGATAAATCAAAGAGGCTACCAAAGGCAATAACAAAAGAAGTATCTTCATTCAACACCTTTTAAACAAATCGAGCATCTTTACGACTACAGGGCAACTAAATCGATTTTCATTGAGAGAAGGATCAATGTTGATCCTCTTTCCTCATTTTTCAAAGGGGAACTCAAGACTACTAATCATCTAAACTCGACAGCAAATTGAGATTACTCGACCCATCTAAATCATGAATGCATGATAGCTCATTAGACTCCTCAAATTCACAATCAAAACGAAATTAAATCAAGAAACCAAAAAAAAAAAAACATAGATTCATCATCAATCATTTTAAGAAATTTATTGAGGAACCCACAAATTGACAATCAAAACATATATAAATGGATTATCGACAAATAAAATCAAGAAAAAATAAATGAATTAAGGGGTGTGTCTTCCAGTATTAGGCATAAAAACAAATTATAGTACTCTTAAAACCAAAACCCTAACTAATTCCCCAGAAATGAAAACGGTACTAATCACAGCAAGAGTAAATCCAGAGGAATTAGCAACAATAAATTATAACGAAAAGCAAAGTTGAAGATAAGTACCTGGGTAATTGACAAATTGAGATGGAATTAGGGTTTAAGAGAATTGGGCCAAATTGCCAATTGGAGTAGCAGAGAACGAGTGTAACAAAACTATATTTTATCAATTTCGCGCCATTTGCCGCCCTCCCATGTCTAATTAACCTTGAGCAAATTAATACAAGTACGGAGTACATTTTTCCAAACTTACATTTTGACTTTAGTGGTCAATGTTTAAACGTACCGAGTGAGAAGTCCTAAAAACTACTTGTATGACTATTTATAAAGGTCAAATTTATTTCATGTGTAATGTTGTTGAATTCGTCTTGAAATAAATTTTAAAAATATTAATTTTTAGAATTTTTAATCCAATCATATTAAATATATACATAGTTAAAGATGTGTATTGGACACTATGTTTGGCTTGCAATTATCATATTGAATGTACACAAATAATTGCAAGTTTAACATGATCATATGAGGAAATGTTGGTCAGGTATAATTGAGAGCTAATCCCAGAACCTTAATAGCTATCAAATCAAAACAAACAAACATAATTGATAGATATAAGTATATAAGTATATAACCAATGCAGAAAAATATCAAGATCAGAATATAAATTTAACCCAGATGCTTAAAATAGCACTGAGATGGAATGAAGTTAAGAGACTTACACCAACAGTGTCACAATGCAATTTCAGACTCTGTGTGGCAAAAATTCTCCTTAAAAAGTCCAAGGAGCTTATTTATATCACCCCTGTCTTGATAATTTACATCGACATTATCAAGACATGCTAGATTTTTAACCACATACTGAGCATAAAATTTGTCATCTATGGAGAGGTACTAGAGTCTAGAGATTAGGTGTATTTATAATAATATTATTGTCATTTCTATCAATGTAATCCTCATGTTTCAGCCACAAGGTCAATTTCTCAAGAGTAGAAACAAAAATATCAATATTTAGCTCTTCAGGAGAATCAAGGAAGCCAAACATGACAAGAGCAGATTTACACCATCATAGTTAGGGAATATGACACCAAGCTGAAGTAACTTGAGACGAGAAAAACATATTACGGACTTGGATATTTTGGACATGAATAAGCTCATCCAACATTCAACTTAGTATGTGTCATGTCATAACCAAATTTTTAAAAATGTTGCCTAAGTTTAATGTGTCACCATACCGCACGGCATACAAATTAAATATTACTCCGTATTTCTATAGACCTTGACTTATTAATTATCAATTTGTTACCACTTATCACCCATGTAATGTGTATTTAAGTCTCATAGATAATCCAGAATTCCTATGAGATGGATGACTTTCTCTTTATGTGAAAAATTTCAAAATAGTACACCTCTTGGACCATGTTATACTATATGTACAAATTAGTTTAAGAGCATGTGTTCCATTAAAGTAAGATAGGATGGCATACAATTGGTCCCTTAATAGTCTAAAACTTCGTAAGTTATAAGCCACTTCTAAATACATGTTTGATTAAATTAAGTAGAAGTATTTTAATAAAAAAGTTGGGTTATTTGGGTAATTAGGGAGGAATTCCAAGAACCAAGGAGAACTTGGAAGTGACAAAAACAGCTTTGTTGATACACGTAAAAAAGGGCCAAAGGGGAGATCGTTCATGCCAAGACAACGTTGTTTTAGTTGCCCCAAACCAGGAGCATCTAAGTTTATCTGATTGATTTTATTTTTATAATATTATTTCTTAATTTGCGTATAATAGTTAATTTATATACTTCCTCCGTTTTTTTTACTTGACCCGCTTTGACTTTTACATTATTCACCACCCCTCTTTTGACCGTCTTTTATGAATAATATATAAGGAAAAACATATTCATGTGGGATCTTTTTGATTCGTCTCAATAAGTACTGTCATAATATATAACTTTTATAATTTTTACTTATGGAGAATTAAAGCTATTAATCGTTAAAATTTTGCATAGACAAGCATGATAAAAGAACAGGTCAAGTAAAAAATAATCGAGGAAGTATAAAACTTGATTTTATTATTATTTTTTTGTTGGTCTTACGAACCATGCCATCTAATCCAAAACAATGAATCAACTTTTGTAGATTATTTTTCCCAAGTCTTTATCAAATTTACAAGGTAAGCTGGTTATTAGTACTAAATGTAAAAGGCAGGTTGGTACTGTTTAGTTTATAGTGTATGACTTATCATCAGAAGTTAAACATGAAAGCGGAGATAGTATAACGAACGAATCGATTTTACCAGTTTTTTTTTTTTTCCTTCTCTCTCTCTTCCGAGTGGTAGGCCAGACATATCACGTATGTTAAATTTTCGGGCAATGCCAATTATCTCTATCGATCCCTGGCGCGTTGATGAGAATCAAACTCGTAAGAGTTGTAACTACGAGGGTATATATAAGACTTGAAGAATGACTATTATGTGTTATCATGCTACCTCTATGTGATTTTACATGCTAACTTTGCTAATCCATCCAACTTTTCTATATATATACGTTTTCCCTATATAAATAAGACTTTGGATAATAAGATTTCGAGTGACAAATACTTTGTACTTCAATTCGTACATCTCAATCTTAATTTCTTTGTACATGAATGTTCTTTTAGTTACTTGAAGAGAAATATTTAATCAGTGAATACAATCTAGCTAAGCAATTGAATTCGATATATATAAACTAAACGAAGGAAACCAGCAACCTTAATGCTTAATCCCTTTGAAAAGCATCATCGACTAACTTGCATGCATGGAGCATGGCTAGCTCACCATTAAACACTACTCAAAATGACATCAAAGCATTCATCAAGCCCATATATAGAGAGACAATATGGTCAATCGCAATTTCTATCTTACTCCCAGATACCGTGAGTATGGTACTCTGGGGTCAAAACAACCTCGCTTTTAGCTTGGGTAATAGGTATATAGTCAGCCTCTTCCTCTATTATCCCCTCCTTCTTCCCGATTTTCTCCCTTTTCTTCCTGATATACTTTTGCTTCCCTTTGTTTTATTTCAATCTCTATGAATGTAATCCTCTTTTTTCCAATTGCAAATTTTTTCGTTCTGATTTTTCTCTTAATCCAATCAATCACTCTTTTTGTCAACTACTTTTCTAAATTGAAGATGATTTTGTGCAACTTGCTGGGTATCGAGGCCGATGATGCTCGTTGTAGTGGTATTGAATCTCCTCTTGTTGATTTTGATGCGGAAATCATTACAAATCTAAAATAACATTTATTAGCTCTAAATAATATAATCTAATAACATTTATTAGTTCTAAAATAATATTTCTAGTTATAAAAATAGTATGCTTCTATTTGTAAAATAACATTGATTATTTTTAAAATCATAAAATCTGAAATAACATTGAGTAGGTCTAAAATAATATGGTCAATAACAATAAATAACATGTTTAGTAACTGGAATAACAATATATACCTTTAACAAAGTTAATGGACTTGAACTACTTGTTGCTTCAGTGGGATAATATATAACATGTCTTCGATGGATGCAATTGAAGAATTTTCAACCGTTTCAAATGGTGAAATAGAGAGAGAAAAAAGAAGAGTGATAGTGGAGAGTGAAACGAGGATGGTGAAATGAATTGATCTGTTTTTCATCCGTTTTTTTTTTTTTTGTTTTTTTTTTTTTGGATATAGGGGTATGTCTTTATGTTATTTCGTTTTGTTAATTTGTTATTTAATGAAATAAATTCTAACACATTTTTTTTAAGTTGGGTTTCTAGCCCATTTATTAGATTCTAGGTATTCCAGGAATACCTAATACTAATTGAATAAGAATGATATATACTTGTCAATACATATAATAATTATGCTATGTTTAGATGGAGAACTAATTAACCATGTATTTGTACTCATCAATTACTCGAACGACGACAAGAAGGTAGTGTGATTAATTAAGGGAATGAAATATTAGGAGCTCATAATTGGGAGCTCTAATTTACATGCAATTGCCTACTATATGACCCTCATTCTTGGAGCATCAACAATTACTACTGCTCCCCATGGGCCATGATTGTGATGATTTTAATTCAATTAATGACTATAGAAGTATATAGGTATTTATTTAATACTTACATGATTTCAAAACAAGTTTAATTATAACGTACAATTTCATAAAAATATTTTGACATCCAATACTTAAATTAACTTTGGGAGATGGGTCTACCAGCAAAGACAAATTGAGTGCACTTTTAAAGCACTTTAAGAAACATAGTGGTGTACATCATGAGTGTAGTGTGGTCTTATAGAATCATGATAGATACAGATACTACTGCAGAATCAAAGCATATAGTCGATTTAGATATAGATGCTGTAGTTTTTATTTGTCAACTTCACTACCTGCTAAATACTCAAATTATTCCCATTTCTCTTATGTTCTTTTATTATTGCAACAGTCATGACTAGATAGACTTGTCACATAATGTTTGATGTAGTTGGTTAAAGATTTATCGGCCTTCATTTATATTTGATCTTCATATCTCTACGAATTACAGTAAAAATCACATTAAGTCAAGTGTTACTTGTCATGAACAACTTACAAAATTACTTGCTAATCGTGAATCTTTTCAAAATAGTGTTGCGGTCATAATGAAAAAAAATAAAAATGGAAGAGGTATTTTTAAAAATAAAATAAAATGGAAGAGGTATTTTTAAAAATAAAATAAAATGGAAGAGGTATTTTTTTTTTTAAAAATAGTGAAATATATGAAGGTTGAATATCTACGTAAAATCTAGTACTCGAGTAAGATTTTCTTTCCAACACATGAAAGCCATCATCATGAAAGTGCACCAATTATGTGCAATTACACAAGCTTCTTACTTTTTTCATATGTTCTATGAAGATACATGTTTCAATGTTTGGAAATAATGTTGATTTCCCTCCAAAATGAATATATTAATTAAGCATATTATGTGCCTAATTGAACCTAAGATTGTGAGATTAATAAAACAAGTTTCCTTGTGACTCTTGTCATGTCGATTGTAGTTTATTACAGATTTCATATAACTAACATAAACATCAAGACATCAAGTAGATTGTCAAATCAATAAGCTTGGTTATAGCGTAATTTCTAAGATTGTGACTAAAAAAAAAGCTTTTTAGAATGAGTAATGAAAAAAAATCAAATTTTGAATTCAACAACAACAATAATAATCTAACAAAACTTATTTTCAATAACAAAATAATCATGCAGTCATGCTTGTACAGTCGTACATGTATATTATCTCTATGTAGATTGTGTTAGGCCGTTAGAGAACATATAAATCCTTCTTTTTCCATAGTTATATACTTCGTAACTAATTTTGTGCAAATTTTTTCTTATGAGTACTTATTTTGTCTAATATATGTTGTACTCCGTATCAACATTTGATTGAATAGTACATTATCACTGTATATAAACTCGTTTAAAGCTCGGAATTAGACAAAAGTAAGCACGTTTAAGGAGGGATTAGTAGTTACATGGGACCACGAGGAAAGGTGATCTTCACAATGGTAGCAAAGAAAAAGAAAGCATTGTTTGACGTTAGCATATTACTATTAACTTGTTAAAAAAGAGTCTGACCAGCATGTGAAACAGAGTATTCTTGTTTGACCACCCACATCACAAATTCACAATACATACTAAACCTATGTCATTAATTATATTTCAGACTAATTAATTTAATTCTGATGCATTTAATTCTCTCCCTCTCTCTGTAACTGTCTAACTGACACTACTTCAGTATTTAATTACATTAAATTAAATGCTCTCACTTTTTTTTTTTTCAATTAAATTTTTATAATAATAAAAAATTAAAAATAGGAAGGTAATTTAAGACACAAACCCCACTTCACTGCTTGGCGTTTTTTACGCCGTTTGCTTTGTTAAAAGTCCACTCGCTCCCTTCCTTCTTTCCCCTTTTTTCTTCTTCCAAAAAAAATAAAAAATAAAATAAAAAATAACTATGTTTTCTCTCTTCAAATTTCACTCTAGGACAAAGTACCAGTGGACATACTACATCTTTATACTCAAATCTCAACGTACTTTATCTTATTTACCAGTATGCAATAACTAATTATCGTAGATTCGTAGTAAAGTTAGTGAGGAATTTACTGTATAATTTTAACATCACAAGGTCGAATCCTCTCAACTACAGTATTTGGGGTGAGGATGTATTTTCCTTCCCCCTTAAGCCCTCACTTTTAAGTACTCGATTTGCAAATATTAGACCATAAAAATCATAAGTGTTGAGATCTAATCAAGGTCACGTAATCGAGATAACTTTAATTTACTGTAATGTTTTGAGCCTAAATCGTAAGTCTCGTTTTTAAATTTTTTAACTAACTAATCTACGTAGTATTTTAATTTGCATCAATTTAAGTAAGATTCTATTATTTTGAGCTTATGGTATTTCAACAGAGCAGATTAAGTCAGCAGAATAAAGCTTAGCAAAATAAAGCTTAGCAGAGCAAAGCATAAACCTCAAAAGAACATGACCTAATACAGTAATATACGATCTTAAGACATGTACCACTACCACACTTTATGCAATAATACTGGATTTTAAGACTAACTAATAAAAAAAGCAATATAAAAAGCTTTGGGCTCTCCAAATTATTCCCTTGACTGTCCCACATTCCATTTTCTCTCTCCTCCAAAATCTTCCATTTTGGCCCTTCTCAACTAAGATCTCTGCTGCAGTCACTCTCTCACTCTTCTTTCTTTTGTTCTTCCTCGTTTCTTTTCCTTTAATTAGAACAACTTCCCCAAAAAAAATTAGTGAAAAATCTACTACCTTGTTTGTTAGCTTCTTGTTTAGGAGTATTTATCAATACATTCTCATTTTCCCCTTTTTGTTTGTGTTTTTTTTGCTTTAAACTCAAGTGCCCTTCAATTTTAGGGCAATATACCCTTAAAAATCAAACCATGTATTCTCCCAATTGGGTACATTTGCTTCATCTTTGATCTATCTTACCCTTCCTTTATTCTGGCATTTTAACCCAGAAAGATTGAATCTTTACCTTCAAAAATAGCCAAAAAAAATAAAATAAAAAATGGTAGTGAAAATTTTGCTGTTGTTTCTGCTGCTAATAATACCCTCTGTTGTGCTGTGTTTGGATGCATTGAATGATGATGTTCTTGGGTTAATAGTTTTTAAGGCAGGTCTTCAAGACCCAGAATCAAAGTTATTGTCTTGGAATGAAAGTGATGATAGTCCTTGTAAATGGGGTGGTATTAAATGTGATCCTGCTACTAACAGGGTTACTCAGCTTAATCTTGATAATTTTTCACTTTCTGGTCAGATTAGCCGAGGTCTTTTGCGACTTCAATCCCTTCAAATAATCTCTCTTGCTAATAATAATCTTTCTGGGAGTGTTAATCCTGAGTTTGCTCATCTTTGGGGCTTGCAATCTATTGATTTGAGTGGAAATAATTTATCTGGGTTTATTCCTAGTGAGCTTTTTGAACAATGTGGGTCTTTAAAGTCTGTTTCTTTTGCTAATAATGGGTTATCTGGTGTATTACCAGAATCTTTGAGCTCCTGTATGACATTACAGTCTGTTAACCTGTCGTCGAATCGAATTTCGGGTAATCTGCCTGAAAAGATTTGGTCTTTGAATGGATTGCAGTCTCTTGATTTGTCTGATAATCTGTTGGAAGGTGAAATTCCTCAAGGTTTTGGAGGAATGTACAGTTTGAGGGTGATTAGTCTGAGGAAGAATGCATTTTCTGGGGTTTTACCAGAAGATATTGGGAGCTGTTTACAGTTGCAGTCGGTTAATTTTGGTGAAAATTCATTTTCTGGGGTGATTCCAGAATCATTGCAGAAGCTTAATATGTGTAGTTCAGTAAGTTTGAATGGAAATTTACTGAGTGGGGAAGTTCCTGATTGGATTGGGCATATGCAAAGCCTTGAAAGTCTGGATCTTTCGACGAATCGATTCTTTGGAAGAATCCCTTTTACTTTAGGGAACATTAGATCATTGAAGGAATTGAATTTATCCTCTAATGGAATCACAGGTGGATTGCCTCAATCTCTGATGAACTGTGATAATCTTCTGGCTCTTGATGTTAGTAAGAATTTGTTAAAAGGGAAAATGCCTAACTGGATTTTTGAGATGGGTTTACAGAAATTCTCATTGTCTAGGAATAAATTCAAAGGAATGATTGAATTTCCTTCTCTAAGAACAAATGCATTGTCTTATCAGAGCCTTCAGGTTCTGGACTTATCTTCGAACGAGTTATCCGGTGTGATTCCATCTGAGATAAATGCTTATAGAGGCTTAAAGTTTCTGGATATGTCTGGCAATTTGTTAATAGGCTCAATTCCAAGTACTGTGGGTGACTTGAATATGGTTCAAGTTATTGACTTGAGTTACAATATGTTAAATGGAAGCATCCCTTCGGAAATTGGAGGTGCAATCGCGCTTAGAGAGCTTAGGCTTGGAGGGAACCGCTTAACCGGGCATATCCCACCTCAGATTGAGAACTGCTCATCCTTGACAGCATTGTAAGTTTTATCCTGTGCATATTGTTACACTTTGTTGATGTGTTTTTCTACGCTTAATTGATAGATTAACTTTATACTAGAAGCTCTATTTTGCTGCTGGGTGTTCTGCTTGAAATATCATATTTCTGTTTTTAGTATATGGTATGTATGTATTTGATAATTTGAATGTGTGATGAAATTGCTCCACTAAAATGTGCACTGTAACTCATATACATGAAGCTGAATTATGCAGTGAAAACTTTATAATTGTAGACATTCAATTCGAGTATCTAACAACGTGTATGTGAATGAACTGAAAATGTGCAGAGTCCTGTCAAAGAACAATCTCACAGGTCCTGTACCTCCTACAATAGCAAAATTGACCAACCTTGAGATTGCTGATTTGTCCTATAACAATCTCTCTGGCAACTTACCAAAAGAACTTACTGATCTTTCCCACTTAACTGTCTTCAACGTTTCGAACAACAACCTTGAAGGGGAACTTCCTGCGGGTGGCTTCTTTGATTCCATTCCTCTCACATCAGTATACGGAAATCCATCCCTGTGTGGATCAGTTGTTAATCAGTCTTGCCCTGCAGTCCACCCTAAGCCTATTGTCCTCAACCCGAATCCATCAACTAATTCTGATGATGACTCTTTCCCTTCGAATTCCCATCACAAGAAGCTTATGCTCAGTGTCTCAGCTTTAATTGCCATTGGTGCTGCTGCTTTTATCTTCCTTGGTGTGGTGATCATCTCTCTCCTCAACCTTCATGTCCGAAATTCTTCTCACCAATTGGCGGCCCCCATGGAATTCTCTGGCAAAGATGAGTTCAGTGGTTCTCCAATGAGTGATTCCCAATATGGAAAACTAGTCATGTTCTCTGGTGAAGCTGATTTTGGATCGGGGGCTCATGCTCTCCTGAACAAGGACTCTGAGCTAGGTCGTGGAGGGTTCGGAGTGGTTTACCATACGGTTCTAGGGGATGGGCGCTCAGCTGCAATCAAGAAGCTCAACATCTCAAGTTTAATCAAGTCTCAAGAAGAGTTCGAGAGGGAGGTCAAGAAGCTAGGCAAAGTGAGGCACCATAATCTTGTGGCGCTAGAAGGGTATTACTGGACCCCTTCTTTGCAACTCCTGATCAACGAGTATGTTCCAGGTGGGAGTTTGTTTAAGCACCTCCACGAAGATCCTAGCCGAACATCTCTCTCATGGCACCAAAGGTTCAATATAGTTGTTGGGTTGGCGAAGGGTTTAGACCATCTGCATAAAATGAACATAGTTCACTATAATCTCAAATCCTCAAATATTCTGATTGACAACTCCGACGAAGCTAAGGTTGGAGACTTTGGGTTAGCAAGATTGTTGCCTATGCTAGACCGTTACATATTGAGCAGCAAGATTCAGAGTGCACTCGGGTACATGGCACCTGAATTTGCCTGTAAAACTGTCAAGATAACAGAGAAGTGTGATGTTTATGGTTTTGGAATATTAGTCCTTGAAGTTGTAACTGGAAGAAAGCCAGTAGAATACATGGAAGATGATGTTGTTGTGCTTGCTGAGATGGTTAGAGGAGCACTCGAGGAGGGAAAGGCAGAGGACTGTATCGATCAGAGACTTCAAGGGAATTTTGTCGCAGAAGAGGTTGTTCCAGTGATTAAGCTTGGTTTGATATGTGCGTCCCAAGTTCCATCAAATCGGCCAGACATGGCAGAAGTGGTTAACATTTTGGAACTCATCCAATGCCCTTCAGAAGGAAGAGATGAGGAGATCGAACAGGTTTAGGTTAGTCTTATACCACATTAAGAGGAATGTATATGGTGGCTTTGAAGCGACAAAAAGGTCAAATTAGTTATATTTTGGTTTGTGAAGCAACAGGAAGAAGAGGGTATATAGAAAATGTCATTTCCCTTTCAACATCTTTTGTCAATTGTTTATTTGGCATATTTGTTTGATGTAATCCTTTTTGGTGTGTTTGGCACCACATATAGCGGTTTTTTGAGTATCGTTCTGTATACAGCATACTCAAATTTTGGCTGTGTTCATTGCAAATATAATTTCATCAGATAAACTTATGTCTGAAACTGTGACATATACATTAGTTAACTTCAACTGCTTAATCATATTGACACCTTCAACCTCAAGATTCTTCTTGAAAGCTATGTAACACCTAAGTATGAAGTGCAAGATCAAGCTATGTATGTATTCTCTGAAACAACAATTAAACTCAGATCAAGCTATGTATGTATTCTCTGAAATAACAATTAAACTGAAACTCAGGAGTCAAAAACCACTGTAAATTGCTTGCAAAACATTCAGAAACAAGAATTTTCGTACAAAAAAGCTCATTATTGTCAAGTAACACCCCACCACGGAATAAAGTCACATATATTATTTTGGAATGTTTAAATTCCAAACATGATTCAACTCTTTTAAAAGAAACCTTCTTAAATCATGTCATATTTTCAATTATACTTAAACTTGAATACAGGGTTTATATATTTTCCCAAGTCCGAGGTTAGTCTTGAAATGAATGCACAAGCTGGTTAAACTTTCCGACAAGAAGAAGAAAAATTGCGCAGAAAGAAAAGCAGAGGAAACAGACTCAAGCAACAAAAATTAAGACATAATTTGGATTCAGTCACAGTTAAAAAATAAATAATAAAATAAACAAACATCATAATTAGTACACATAGCACACGCCGTAGACGTGCAGGTAGTACGTATAAATTAATTGATGCATGCGAATTACCTTCAACTTCACGCACTATCACTCCCAACACTAACACTTTGAATTAAATACTTATAACATTTGACATAATTATTACACCTTAGTTTTCAAGTTATATTTCATGCTCAATCAAATGATGTTCCACCTTAAGGGGACCTCATCAACTATCTTATGACATGTACTTCACTATTCTTGTTTTTTCTTTAGAAAAATGTACCCAAGTAAAAGCAAATCGTTATCATATGGGTTAGTGTATGAAATGAAAGTTATGCTTTTTTTTTTCATGGATGGGGTGATGTTACTCATGTAGGAGGCACCAAACAGTCAAGGGTACTTGGGGATGATAGACAAATGTGTGAAAACGGGTTGGAAACGTTTTAATGTGCGTTTTGGATATTAAAGGACATTTTCGGTGATAACTTAGAAGATGGGGATATTATTTCTCTCTTTGTTGAGATGATTTGTTGATTTTCATGCTCGACGCTCCATTGTAATTCTTAAGAAGACGACCTTATTGAACGATTTAAACAATAAGTAAGCACCGTTGTGTACCAATAGTATCATTGATAATAAACAATGTTGAAAGTAATTAAATTCAAACATCGTGTGTGGTAGCTTTGACAAGATTTGATAACATTACGTGAAGGGTCATTTTTTTAAGGCTTTAAAACTAAAAACAGTGCTGCAATTAGACACAAATTTTCTGTAGCTACTATTCGCCTACAATGTACATTTCATGCTACAAGAAACATTATCCAAGCTACGAAAATCAAAATCTATACATCAACTAAACTAATTTGCAATTCACAATTTCCTTTGTGAATTATATGAACCTTTTTTTTATATTGATATTTTGCAACTAGATTCCTACTCATATTTTTCAGATGTACTGACCAAAGTTTTGTACTTCTATATCCTTTTATTTCGGGATGGGTTGTTCCACTAAGCTTTAACTTATTCAACACCACTCCCCTCTGCTTTTAAAAAGTTTAAGCTGGTTTAAAAGCTATTCTAAACTCTCACAGGATGCATAAAAACAGACATGTTTTTGACAAATTAATTTTGCCAAAGCTAGCACTAGCAGTGGTGATTGGCTCATGCCCCGCACTTGTCCACACATTCAGAGAGACACGCGAGGGAGGGCTTGTAAGCGTCAATCAAGTCACCATCTGGTAACCGACTATACAAATAGTCTTATAGTCGTATACTAGGTTATGTCCCGTGCCATGCACGGTAATATATTAAATAAAATTATTGTTGTAATAGGTAGTACATAACCTTCTGTCACACATTCTGGCACAATTATGTTAAAAATCTGATTTAATATTTATTTCTTTTTACTTAATTTTATATTTTTCTCAAAAAAAAAAATATAGTTGTCAATGTATATATTATGGAAAGACATATCAAATATTTTATTTATGTATTATTTTGTTATCTTTTTCTTTTATGTATAAGATTTGTCAAATATTTTATTTATGTATTATTATGATATCTTTTTATTTATGTATAAAATTTGTTTTCTAAAAATTATTTAAAAAAAAAATTAAAATAAGGGACACACCAGAAAATGACACGTGTCATTGCCGGTGTGTCTTTTAGTATATAGTATTGATTGTTTTCGTCACTCGTTTTGAGCAGCAATTAGACTCTAATGAGTAACGACTAAACATCAGGCAGAAAAGGGACCAAAAGTTGCATGGTCCACAAAAGGAGTAGTTTTAAAGTCAAAAGGATATGTTAATTCTCTTTCAAGGCAAAGAAAGTAAGAAGAAACAGGTATAACTATAGGAATCAATCAAAACTTCCATAAATCAACTTTTGCATATACATGGGGTCAAAATTGTCAAAAAACTGTCCATCAAAAATAAAATGTCAAAAAACTCAAGCTGCTTTCACTATAAACCCACTATATATATACTATATGTAAACACATGGTACTATAATAAAGGGTTTTTACCCCTACATGTTTTACTATGCAAAACTCCCACATTACACATTTTAAAGTTGCCAAAAATTTCTAATCATCCCAATCTTCCCAGTCATCTTTTTTCGAGTTCCGGGCTGTCAGACCATTTGCAGAAATTCTATGGCCTCCAGGTGATCTAACAGCATTCTCTTCATCCCAGTCATCATCCCAAACCTCATCCCATCCTTCTACTGTTTCTGCTCTTTCTGCAGCAACAGCTGATTCTGGCATACTCAATTCGAGTTCCTGGTATGGGATATCACGCTGTCCTTTCCTTTTACTGAACCAGCAACAACCTAACACCCCTCCAGCTATTAAGGTTATCACTAGAACCAAGTAGGCACCATATGTAGGAGTCATGAACTTGGAATATGATGGTAGTAATTGAAAATAATTCCCTTGTGATGCAGGAGTGCCTACATGTAGCACACAATTTCCATTACCGGCATTTAGTGTGATCTCATTGATTCCACCATCAGCCAGTGACATTTCCACCTGAGTAATACATAGGCAAGAAGTATTAAAATTGTAATTTGACTATTTGAGGATCTCCGGTTAATATTTTTAGCTATTACTCTATTGAGTTCAAGTTTGCACTAGTGATGAAGGGATAAACTTATTTTTACACGAACTTGCATTCACGTATTTTTTTAAAACACTAAGCTTCAGCTATCATCCAAAATTAGAATCTTAACAGATACCCAAGAAGCATAAATAGACAATTCTTCAAATAGTATGGCTACAATATAAATCTCTGTCCGTAAATGTTATTTTACACTTCCTTAATAAGAATGCCACTCATTGTTTTTCACATATGTTTTTTGGGTTATAAATATCTACATCGTTCCCAAAATACCCTAGTTGGCAAAATCTCAAATCAGATTTTTAGCTTTTGCAGAGTGGCTGCATACAATAAAATAGACTTCAGTCCCCAATATTCACTTATCCATTTTGAAATATCTCAACAATGAAATCTCAGGTGATAATGCACTGATGCACAGCCAAAATTCCAGCATTAACATTTGTGGCAAATTCTATTTTTGAAAATAATAAGGGAGACTACCGGCACTACCCTACTACTCTGTTAAATCACCTCCTTTTTAAGCAGCTTGACTGAAGCAACAATCGATGTTAAGACACCTCTCAGTAATATGTTAAATCATGTACATCAAGCATGAGAACGAAGTCACGCCTATCACTAAGTCAGATTGATGCTGTGCTGCTAACAATTAGCCGGAAATGATATGTGATTATCCAACTCCAACAGAAGGTTGGTACAAAGCAGTCAGGCAAGAAAGCATAGGGATTAATGCCCAAACTGCCAAGACATTACTATAGCCACCAGAGCACAGAACAAATATTTTCCTTTTATTTCACTTCTAATTCAAATGTTATTTGATGAATTTCTCTAGAGAGTCCCAAACTTCAGGCATACTCTGAAGGGCATATATATTTAACAAAGAACAGGAAGACACAATTACAAGTTCAGGCAGTTAAAAACACCAATTATTAAGCTAGTAAGGCTGATAGGTGATCCTAATCAATTAAGCATTGAGAGCAAAGCAGTTAATGATTGAACATGATAAAGTTTGGTACTACTCAACTTTTGGATATGAAATGAGAAGTGCAGACCAGGCATAAGTTTAAAGTCTTACCTGTTTATTCTGAAGCTTTGGGACAGTTATCACCTTCTGTTTACTCCCAGAAGACATTGCAGAGACATCCACTTTCAAGCTAATATCCCCTTTGTTCTGTATGAGGAGGACCAAAGCCTTTGAATCTGATACAAGAGTAAGATTTAACAAAATGAAAAAACTCCCCAGCTCTTTTAACCCATATCAGTTGAAAGTACTAATATCATATAAAATGGTAAACATAAATACATATCTATTAGCATATCATACTGCAGTTTACCACTGCCCTAAGTTCCCATTAGAATCCCCGCAGTTAACCACCTAAGGGGAGCTGAGGAAGAAAGATTCATGCAGCCATGACACATGAATATTGGAGATTTAGCATCCTTTACACAATTTAAAACTCTTAACGGCTGAAGTGCTAGCCACCTAACCATCATTAATCTGACAAATGTAGGCTTTAAACATGAGTTCACCTTATTTATCGAGTGTTAGGCTTACGCAGTAGATAACGCCCAAAAGTTAGCCACTTTGCTCCATTCTTAAAAAATAGATCAGAGAGGAAATGAACAATAACTTTACATATTGCAAGAAACTGACAACATTATATAGCCCTTATTAATGCACTATGAGTCCACGATAGTTTTAGCTAAGTTACCATAGATGATAACAGGAACAAGAGGGCTAATAGAAGCACTCACTCAACAAAGAAAAATTAAACTCAGGCTTCTACTACCTATGAAAAGCATAAGGGCTCATATCATAAAAACTAAGGCATTATGTCTCTGTTGTTATCCTTTTCTAAGATTCCGACCAGTTATACAACAGGAAGTTTCAGCAGCTCAAATGAATGGCTGAGATACTTTCTTATTATAACAAAGATGCAAGTTTAATTTTGGTTCGACCAATCATGCGAATTGAAGGTTTTTCTCATCTTCAATGTGCAATTTTGCACGACCGGAGGTTTCAACAGCTCAACTTCAAATGGTCATATCTTGCTTATTTAAAGTTCGATCTTATCTTATGACCTAGGACGGAAAGCTCTGAAACCTTTTCTCTAAGCATAATCACCTTGAAAAACATTTTAATGAAGAAGATATTGCTGCCCAATTTTGACCCAAATCTAAGAGCACTTGTATATTTTTTCACCTTTGCTTTAATGTCTCCATGTCTGATCATCAAAAGTTATCCCAAGACATAAGGATAGTTCCTATTCAACTAAGCCACATCATAACATAAAGTAGCCAGCCAAATATCCGTTTCCTAAAAAAAATCAACACCATTTTGAAACCTAGTCGAACATCTAGATTTAATCCATAGATCTAATGAATATTCCAACATCAAACCCTTTCTCTTAAAAGCAGTTGACATCAAATCCTATAGGTGACAACAAAACTAACACAATAAATCAGATGATGACGTCTTTATTAGAAACTATAAAGCCTAATTGAAGAAAACCATCTACAACCATTGTATACACCTGTATTAAACACAAAGATTGCCAATCCAATGATGATGCAATCACAACCCAAGTAAACTCACATAATGTTAAGAACAAAATCAAACCGAGCAAATTTTTGAGTCCTCTAGCTAAGCATCCAAAATAAGAGCTATATGACAACCATAGAATTTTCCAAGATTGATAAAGCCATCATTATTCAAGGAAATATTCGATAATAATGTAATGCAATTTTTGTAGAGGAAAAACATTTTAAACAATAATCTTAGGTTGCATGAATCAAACAAGGCACCGTAAGAGAAAACATTCCACTCATATTGTCTTCTTTTTCACTCTTTCCAACCCCATATGGTAAACAAGAACCAAGCATAAGAGAAGCTTCATCAAAGCCGCATTCAATGAGCGCAGTCTAATACACATACCAAGGTCATCATAAGGTAATGTAGTATGAATCATATTAACATCGTAATCATGTTCAGAGTCCACTTCTAATATTCAAACAGGTGTAGGATTACTATCATAATGCCTACAAGCGTGAAATTCAAAAACCTTATGGCATGAAGAAGAGTAAGAAGCATGCACTATCTCATGAAATGTAATAAATAAGCCACAAACATCAATTCATATCATAAATAGACGCACTAAAATCAACCTTGAATTCGTCATCAAAAATAAAGGATCCAAGGTTAACTCATCCTCCACAAATACCGAGGTGCTTTAGAGTTACTTGATATGAACACCATTGTTCTTTGGATTTATACCCCTCATGTTAGGACTTCCTATGAGTCCAAAGTACTTCAAAACTTGAAATATTCAATCAATAATCTTTTGTAAGGTCCTTCCTAGGTTTTGCATTCTGAAAGGGCCATACTGACTCCCCTTTCTATACTCATCATGTCATCATCATACATCAATCTATCACCCATCTTGCTATAAAAGAGGTTAGATATATATAGTTGACTAGTTGAGTGAAAAAAAGGTGAAAGTTTCAAACTTTGCAGAGCTAAAAGTGAAAGCTTTTGGATAGGTTAGAGAGGAGATACAAGAAGAGAGGAGGAGATAGAAAATTGAAGAAGTAAATTAAAGATTGAAAAATTATCACCTAATAAATGTTCTAGGCTAATGGCCTAGGCTGTTAATACCACTTTGATTCAAATTCATCAACCAAATCATTTAAATCTCCTAAATTTTCTCACTTTTAAAGATGCTATTTTTTGGGGTTTTGGGATATCAATGAAATGCAAGAAAAAGATAAATACTTGATTCACTAATCACAAAGTTGAATGAAATCAAGGAGTTCAATCTTTAATCTGGAACAAAATCAGATAGAGATTGAGTTTATCACAAAGATGCAAAAGGAGAGAGAAGATCTCATGAATAAATAATGAGCAAAAAGTTGTTGACACAAGTTCTCCTCCATATGTATGGGTGACTACTACAATATTGTGGGCCCTTCCGTGACAAATTTGTTACCTACTTTCATGTTATATTGTTATCAACTTGCTACAATTTGCTCTGGCAAGAAGCCTCAATCAAACTTACCAAGATCAGAAGGAAGCAAACCATGCATCTTACGAGTATACTCATCCCAAAGATGAGTATACACACATCAATTTCCAGTCAGCAAACCAAAATTTTAGTATTATTCACAAAAATTGCAAGGACCTTTATTACTATAATAGTGAAACTCTAACAAAATCTTCACACCCACTATATATAGACAAAAATATTATAACTTAAAAGAGTAATGATTCTAGGAGTCTAACACGTAATTAACAACTGCAAAGCACGAAAGGATTTCCAAAATTACCAGAATCAAAACTCTTGACACAAGCAGTCATCGACTTCAAGTCCTGGCACCTTCTTCCTATCTTATCACAGCTCTCATCGCTTCCAACGGGTACAGCAGGTTTGCTCTCTGCTTTCTCCTTTGGTACCTCTTTGTTTTTCTCTTCTCCTTTCTCTTTCTGTTCCTTCTCCTTTTCCTTTTTATCTTCCTCTTTCTCTTCTGCCTTCTCCTTCTCTTCCTCCTTCTTCTCCTCGTCCTTTTCTTGATCCTTCACAGCTTCCTTACTCGTATTATTATGTTCTTTAGCTTCAATTGGCGGTGTAACAGGCGTCGTATGTGTATCATTTGTCGCCTGCTTATCCTTAGAGGCATCCTTCCCGGCTGTAGTAGCTGGAGGAGGCCCAATTTGCTTCTTTTCCTTACCCTTCTCCTCTCCACCAACTGAGCTTGAGTGTTTCCCGGGTACAACCGGACTCGGAATCGGAATCGGAGTACCCTGAACAGCACCCCCGAAAATATTATCAAATTCAGATCCAATCAATATAAACTCTACCACCAATAACATCAATTAAACAGTGTATACTAAAATTCTAACATATTCTAGCTAATCTCAGTTATATGTGCATAATCAAACAAATTTTAGCTCCCATTCACAAAAATTTTGAGCAAATGAATAAGATTAACAACCAAAAATCAAAATAGAAAGAAATTTACTGGTTTATTGGGATCTTCAATTGGCGGAGAGGCGGCTAATATCCGGGAATTCCACAAGAAGGCAGCATTTGAAACGTCGGCAACAAGCAGAATCACTAGAATTGTTGTCAAAATCACATTCTTGCCCATTTCCAGAGGGGGATATAACCCAAAAAAAAAAAAAACCAAATCAATTTCCCAGATAAACCCTAATTGCTGAAGATAAGATCCCAATCGACAAGTTCAAACAACATACTTAAAAATTTCGACGGTTCCTGTGATCAACTGATAATTGAGTTTTTTCTAATACTAAATTAGAAACAATGGAGTACTGATTAATTATTGCTTTGATCGCATGAATTTATGAAGAAATTAGATAGGTGTTTGAGTTCATCAACGAATTGGAAATTGAAAGGCGTTACTAAATTAGGGTTTATGCAATCAGAAGAAAAGAAACGTAAACGTAGGTCAATTGGGCAAATTGCTAAGGTTGACGATTCTCCAAAAGACCAAGGTTTGACGCCAGAAAAGACTGGTTTGTTTGATTTTTTTATTTTATTTATTTGTTTTTTTTAAAATTTTTTGGTGAAAAGACTGGTTTGTTTGATGATCATATGCATTTGGCCCTTGGGGGTAAATTGTCATATTCGATATGTTAATCAAGGGGCAAAATTGCATATTTTGTCATGGGTAAAAATGTGTAAAATCACTATAGATAAACAAATAGATTTTCCGTAGCAATATTATTGTATTGTAGATCAGATTCATTCAAGTATAATTACTTCTTGGCTAAGACCTCATTGGTCCATATGACTAATTACAATATGGTACTAATGTTTTACATTGCTTTATGCAAATTTCTAATAAATTGACCACAACTCTTGTTGTGGTGTTAATTTGATCACCTCTAGTTATATTACAAAACCCTACCGAAGAACGTATGCCTTAATGTTTTATAGACAACGTGAGAATGCTTGAGTTTTGATACTTGGTGGGGTTACTTCCTTCATGAGCCCCAAGCAATAGCCCTTTATTTCAACTCTCATAGTCGGTTGGTTCAATTCTAATATGATCAAAGTATAAACCATTAAACCCCATCACAATGATCACACCTTTTTATTCTCCCTAAATTGACTCATATTTGACCAAAGAAAACAACCCCCCCCCTTTTTTTTTAATGTTTAGAAAGCCGGACGGATGATGAGAATCGATCTCACGATCTCTTGCAATTGGGAGAAAAGTTCTACCACTTGAGATATCTCTCACTCTCAAAAGACAACAATTTATAGTATTACTTATTTATAAGACAAAAGTTGAGAAGATGTCCTAGTAAGTAGACTTTTGTATTCACGCATTGTATTGGGCCTATCACTCTATTAATCAATTTTAATTTTATCCAAAACAACCATATACAGTTTAATGTGTACAAAGTAATATTTATTTTTCTTAATTAATAGCAATTCTGCCCCACATAAATATAAGAAATGAAATTGGCTACTAGTAGTAGCTAATCAGACCATTTCAAAGGTTTCAAAATTAACTTTTTTTATTTATGCGGATTAATAGTTGCATAAAACGCACATAATATTTTAATAAAATTTGAACATACAATGTTGTCTTATTGTCTATTCATCACCTCTTTAAAAATTGTGGGACTTACTAGGTCATCTTGGTGACTGATGAACAGTACTGATGTAATGAGTTTGCTATATTAATGAAACAAAATACTCGTAAATTTTACAAACTGTCCAAATTTTCCATATCTATCCAACAAAGTACTCCATAATCAGAGACCAAAATCTTATAAAATCTTGTCCATATAAATATTGTTATACTAGTAAGTTTATTTGCAAAATTATGACCAGATCATTATTCCAAAACTCACTTTAATTGATTCTTCTTTGCTTTAGTGCTTGTTAAGCTTCTGAAAAGAATACGAGTGGTACTTATAAAAATTCTTCGTACAAAATAAACGATGAGGTACTAGGAAAGCTACGAAACAGAATTTAAGAAGCATTTATAAGATTCTTACTAAACTAGACAAAAATGCTTTTAAGAATCATTAAAAAAAAAAAAAGTTGAGTTAACATGAAATTATTTACTCGTAGTATTAACAAAAGCTGTATAAGTAGTTAAGTAATACAGAGTATGTTTATTACGGCCTGGTACTAAATTCATGTAGAAGATGAAGAGCAAATAAGGCTAACTGACTTTAATTATTATTCCTTAATAAATATCTTATAAATAAGCTTTATAACCCATAATTAATTACTTCTCAATTATTAAAGTAATCATGTTTCAAAAAAAAAAAAAATATTAAATACACTTTAGAAAATGCTATACATAACCTTTAAGCCTACATATAAACATTAAATACACTTTAAAAAATTGTTTAAATTTAGAAAATCATGACAAAAACACACTAATTACACTGAATTACACGTGTTTTTGTCATAAATTTCTAATTTTATACAATTTTCAAGAGTGTATTTAATATTTATATATAGCCCTTAGGACTACATATAACATTACTCTTAAAGTAATGATGAAAGATATTTGCACTTTATTATTACTTTCATCTTCCATGTAAAGAAAAGAACCCTCTAAATATAAGATTATTGATAAAAAGTTTATTGATAAACATTTATTTCATTTCAATCAATCTGACACACTCTCTTAGGTTGCCTTCCAAAGTAAACCAAAGAATCAACAAAGAATGAAGGACTATACTATATAGTACTAGTACATACCTAAGAGTGTCAAAAAATCAAATGTAACAAAATAAAATGGATGAAATAGAAGTGGCTGTTAAGAAATTTTCAGAAAACCGAAAGAGCACATTGTTTGATGAATACGAACGTCTATCAGTTGAAATTCAACTCAACCAAGCCATGCTAAGGAGGAGCTTGTCCGAGCCAGGGACATCGATGTTTCGTGCACACCTAGGCGTGGGTGCACCACCATTGGTTCAACAGCCGGTGGAACAAGGGAAGCGAGGTACGTCTTGGGGTAATGGTTTGCATAAGATTGTCAAGAAGTTACTTAGGCCTGTTTTTTGGAAGAAGAAAGGGAGGAAAAATGTTCATCATCATGTTGAGAAAGAGCAACAAGAGCCTAGTAGAAGTAAAAATAATAATGACCTTAAATCTTGGAAGAGGTTTAGCAAATCAGTAAGGTATTATTAGAGACTAATTAATTAATTATTTGTGACATGATACATAACTATATATATGATCATCAATCTAGTTCATAGATTGTCTATCTCAGATTGTAACTATCATTTTGATGGAATCCTCGTGTTTAAGTGCTTCGAGTTATTATACTTTTCGTGTGAAACTCATTTCATTCTTTGTACTACCTCCGCTTTTGATTATTTGCTACAATGGTACCGTTTACGAATACCAATGCAAAAGTTTTTAAGCATCATTAATAAAATATAAGAACATGTACTTAAACACTAATCCAATTAAAAAAGAAAAAAAACCAAAAATTTAAACCACCACCACCACCGAACCCACCGTAAACCGCCGCAAATCAGATCTGAACTCCTACAACCATCCCACCACGAACCCAGCCACGCACACTCCACCACGAACCCAGCCACGCAGCCACCACCACGAACCCAGCCACGCAAACTCCACCACGAACCCAGCCACGCAGCCACCACCACGAACCCAGCCACGCAAACTCCACCACGAACCCAGCCACGCAGCCACCACCACGAACCAGACCCACGCCACCCCACGAAACCAAACCCACGAACCAGACCCACCCCCACGAAACCAAACCCACGAACCAGACCCACCCCCCGAAACCAAACCCACGAACCAGACCCACCCCCACGAAACCAAACCCACGAACAAGAAGAAGAAGAAAGATGTGGTGAAGAAGAAGAAGAAGAAAATGTAGAGGAGAGAGAAAATTGAAGCAGGAAGAAAATTGGGGAAACCAGAGAGAGAAAGTGGGAAGATAATGATTTTTGGTGAAAATGATTACAATAATCAGATTTATTAGATAAAAAGTTAAATTAGGTTAGTGATCTAATTAAATGTCTAAGTTGTTTAAGTAAGGGTAATATGGGCATTTTGTTGACAAAAAGTTACTAGAAAAGGAAATAAAAAAGTTTGTTGCAAATAATAAGAAGCGCCTAATTTTAATAAATGTTGCAAATAACCAAAAGCGGAGGTAGTATAAAACATAAGAGACTACTTTCGTTCTAAAAGTTATTTAGTGAGCCTCTGAGAAAGATTTAGTCCAATATGATGCATGAATATTGAATTTTCATATAATTATGCTCGAAATATTTGTTTTTGATGTCACGAGAACGCCCTTTATTTGGTCTACAATAAACAAAGTAATTATTAGTCTTTTCATATGCCTTAACGCACAAAAAACATCATATACGGAGTATTACATAAACTTAAAAATCAGTGTGTAAGTATATGAATGGTTTGACATGTCACTCTGCCGCTTTTTTGTTGATTATTATGCGTATTAGCACAATAGGAACAAAGATCTTCTTACACTGTTACACATCATTCATATAAAACTCTCAATGTAGCTTGAGTAGCTCTATATGTCATAGAAAATTAAATTATGCAATTTGTCCATATTAACAAAATAGCAACTTAAAACCTCAAAATAAAGTCCAATTCTTTTTGGGATTTTCTAAAACGTCAATCTTCATGCCTTGTTCTCTGGGATGCTCCTCATTGCTTCCTCCATTGTTAATCTTCAACAACACCACAAAAAATCACTTCTTTTTCAATGACTATCATTTTCTTCAACCCAAGAATTTTGCATCAAAAACACTTAATTTATCAATTTGTTCATCCCAAATTTCAATTAAATCACACTTCAATTTCATTGTTACGAATTTCAGCAACAGTTTTAGAATTCAATCATATAGTTCTGCTTCAAATTCATCTACTTTAAGCTTAACAGAAATGAAAGGTGAATACCAAGAATACAATAGTAGTAAAGCAAAAGTTAAACAATTAGTTGATGAAATTAGAGCAACCCCACCTCAAGAAAGGTCTAAAATCCTTGATTCTATGATTGAGAAGCAGGGTGAGTCCAAAACTATAGGTTATATTAATGATTTAATTATGGGTTTAGTGATGGCTGAGGAATTGGACCTTGCCTTGAAACTGTTCGACGAAATGCCACTGCATGGTTTATCACCAGACTGTTGGACTTATTCTATACTTATCAGGTGTTATTGTAAGAAAAATCAGCCTGATGAAGGGAAAAGAGTTCTGGACTGTATGATCGAAAACGGATTTCGACCAAATGTGGTGACTCTTACCATCTTGGTGAATTCATTATGCTCAAGAGGTAGACTTCAGAGAGCTTTTCAGGTGTTGGAGATTATGGGTGAACTTGGGTGCAACCCGAATGTTCAAACTTATAATTGTGTGTTAAAAGGGTTGTGCTTTGTTGGCAGGGTAGAAGAAGCTTATGATATGTTGATGGGTTTGAAGAGAAAGGGGGATAATGATAATGAAGACAGTAGTAGTACTAATCCTGATATATATTCATACACTGCTGTTATGGATGGTTTATGTAAAGTGGGCAGGTCAGGTGAGGCCATGGAATTGCTTGAGGAAGCAATCGCGATGGGATTAACTCCGAGTGTGGTTACTTATAATGCTCTCTTTAATGGGTATTGCAAAGAAGGGAAACCAAGGAAAGGGGTCGGGTTGTTGAAGCAAATGAAGGATCGCGGTTGTGTACCTGATTATATAAGTTACAGTACTTTGCTTCATGGGTTGTTGAAATGGGGTAAATTTATGGCAGCTTATTGGGTTTACAAAGAAATGGCCGAGGTTGGTTTCAAGGTGGATGGAAGGATGATGAACACCTTGTTAAGAGGTTTGTGCAGGAAATCTTGGAATGAACAAGAGCTCTTCAAATTTGTGGATGAAATATACGCAAAAATGAAGAGTTGGGATTATTCTGTCTTTCCTGACACTTATTATCTGGTGATTCAAACCTTTTGTATTAGAAAGGAGGTTGATATGGCTTTGATTACTTTGAAAGAGATGATTGAAGCTGGTTATTTTCCAAGGATGGTCACGATTAATCGAATCATTCGTGGACTCTGCAAGGAGGGGAAGATTAGCCAAGCACTATCAATTTTAGTTCTTGTGTGTGAAGCTGGTAAATTTCCCAGCAAAATTAGCTTTAACATTTTGATTGATGAGTTCAATAGGCAAGGGTTTGTGCTTGGTGCCTGCAACGTCTATGGTGCTGCATTAAAGCTTGGTATAATTCCACACCAGATACCCTCGAGCTCACAACAAATTAAATTACCATAATCCATAACACAACCAATGTATGTATAGCTCTCTACTACGAAGTATTACTTAGTGTTGATTGTTGATAAATTGATCTTGTACTATAGCCTATCAAATGGATAGTTTTGTTGTTATTGAGCATGTTGCAATTTGTTAAATTTTTTTTGGAGAATGTTAAATATGTCCATGGAAGGAGACAGAAACTGTAAATCCCAGCCCCATGAGATGCACTCTCTCTGTGAGAATTGAATAAGAGAAAAGAGTTCTAGTTTTCTATGTGAAAATATAACAAGTACCCCAGATGCATAAGCTGCCTCGCAACTGTCGCAAGAATGATCAGATCATGACCTTAATAATTTGAACTAGATAGTCGAAACAGCCCATAATTTCATCATGATAGTGAAGCACTTGATACAAAAGTTTACCATCAAACAGACTAGAGTGCAGCACTAATCGTCAGCAGATATCAAAAGGAAAGGCTTGCTCAGGTAATAGAAAATTTCAGCTTGAATTGATTCAATATTTATACAAAATCCTCCCAACTGATTCCCGTGACATACATGTATATCTCAACAGCATCGTGTCTATCTCAATCGCATCAAGAACAAAAACCTAACCTTGAATTACAGAACAGAGCGTTGCAGTAATATGGACACAAATAAATACAACAAAAACTCTAAGCATTGAATTACATTAGTGCCGAAATTTGTTTGAAACACTAATTACGCACGAGTATTATACTGCCCTGTTCTTGTATCAATCATAATATCATCACCGATATTTATGAACAACGGTACATTAACAATAGCTCCAGTGTCAACTGTTGCTGGTTTGGTACTACCTACAATCAAATATCATCAATGGAACTGTTAAAAAGAAAGAAACATTCCCGTCAAAAAAGAAAGAAACATTACCCTAAACCTGGTATAAGTATATAGCCATCTAATAGAACATTTGTTCTAGAGTTCTAGCTACAAAGTACAATAGAATCACAAACAAATAGTAGATTAAGTAGAGTAATTTCAAGAAGAAATCAACCCACTTCTACGGTAATAATGGTATTAATACATACCAATGACTTATTGCATGTAAACAGAAATCTGAATTAGTACAGAGAAATCCAAATACAAGCTACCACCAGATCAACCCCCTCCCCCTCTCGGCCTCTCTCCTCCCAGATTATTAGTTAACTTGAAGAAATTGTGTGCATACCAATAAAATATATTTCAAATACTTCGTATGAAGAGTTCACTGAAGGTATATACACATTTACCCTGCTCCGAAGACTGGGAATCTATGACAAATAATTGCAGATGCAAGATAAGGGAATAGAATATGGGCTTATAGCCAAATTCACAATGCTCAACAAGATCAGATCAATTGCAGAAACCTGCATAATTAGTCTTAGCAACCAAAAAAATACAACATGGTTGAAAGATAACAAATAAAACCCCACATTAGTTTCAAGCATTTCTGTCTCAAATGTGAACTTGAAAGGAAGCACGATGGGTGGATTTAATTGGTATAGTGAGGACCAAAGGTAAATTAGATTACATACCTTGAGCTGAATCACCCTTAATACCAGGTTCAGTATCAATAACAGTGAGCTTCACAATGATGGGCAATTCAAGATCAATTGCCTGCAAGTAGTTCAAATAACAATTCAGCTTTGCTGAACTAGAAGTGCCAATTATAAATGTGTCCTCAGATTTCCCCACATGAGGTACAGAATGAGATGAAGAAAAAGAAGAATAAATTTTCTTAATAAGGATTTTTTTTTTATTTTTTTATTTTTATGATGAATACCAGAGATACTTTATTGAAAAAAAGGGAAGATGAAGGGTAAGCACAGCATAGTAATAGAATCTTGATGTTTCCTATAAGTCATGACTTATAGAATGACGAGAAGTGTCAAAAGCAACAACAGCAATCATAATAAGTGGAGATAATTACTTTTCCATTCCAAAACTGCAGATTGCAGTCCATGCCCTCCTTCAGCCACTTGGTCTTATCACCAACATCTTTCTCACTGAGCCGGAATTCCTCATATGTAGTCTGAAAATGTGTAAAATCATTTATCAATTGCACTTCTACATGTATAACACAACATACAAAGATACCTTCAGAGTAGCATTCACAGTGAAGAACTAGCACATTAATTCTCAAAAGGAAATGTTTTGAATCTTTTGATAGAGTTCAGTTAATAAATGGAGAGTAGGTAGAGAGAAGGAAAATCACTTTTAAATTGTACAGTTATGTCGATTCATAACATATTCATTGCTGGAACTAGGAAGATGCTTTTGGGTAGAGGGTGCACAAGTGTCAATGTCAACTAGCTATAAAAAATTTCAAGTGATTGATTTAAATTTCAGTGACTTAATATTGGCAATGGAAAAGTTGACATGGTTTGGGTAACACTATTATAGTCCATACTGCATTTTATGATTGAGTAAAGCATGCACAGGCATAAGAATTTAATGAGAAAGGGAAAGCATCAAAATAATGATGACCCAACACTGATGTATGCATAGGAAATTCAGAATCAAGCATTTTATCTATTAAGGCAGCTCATCAAGAAGCATGGTGACCTACAGTCATGTAAAAAACACTGCAAATTTCATAAATTACAGGGGATAAAGAAACATACATTATCCATGAAGACATACATAGTTCCATCTTTGTATGTGAATTGCTTTGTTTCCTTGGATACATTTGCTTCAGGTATCTGTCAATTTCAATTTTATGTCCAACCAATTAGAAAAAACAATTGATTACTATTAACAATACTAATGAGATGTTACTTTGACATGACTATAAGTACAAGATCAAAAGCTCATACAACACCACTCATCAAGGCGTGTTGGTAGAGTGGTAGGGACTTGGAAGGAGCAAGTTTTCTTTTCCCCCTTTCAAAGCTTCAATAAGTTTACTTGTAATAATCTATTGGTTGGAAATCTTGAACTTCTACCTATATGATGATCATATAAGGATCCCCATATGAGTACACGTTTTCATCCGAATCATCCCTATTGAAGAAACTAAGTTTAAAGAAGAAAGGGTTCACATTTAGAAATTAGAACCCTTTCATCAGTCATTTATATGACAAACAACATATATAAGATGAGAAAGGTGTCCCCCTCCCCACCCCCCCCCCCCCCCACCAAACTGATTAATTATGTCAAATTCACCTATCCCAAACCATGAAGAAAAGTCACTGCTTCTGCCCCGTCACATAGAGAATAAGAAATGTGGGATAATACTGGTATGTGAACGTCAAGTTGTCAACCCTGCACAAAATGCATGGCCAGTCATTATATCTACATCTACACAGTCTGTAAAGACTGAAGAGGACAATTTGTGGTGCTTTATAGTTTATTAAAATTTAGTCATTTTAAGAAACCAGGTTTGACCTTTATTTCTTGACCACATGACAAAGCAGTGTCAATGCCCTAACTACGAAGGATCAGAAAAGCTAAGGATAAAACCAGATGTGCAGATACACAGCCATGAAAAACAATTGACCATTCAGAAAACATACCGTGACTCCAGCTCGAAAGGTCTTTTCAACTGTGTTCCCCGTCACATAATTGCGCATTTTAGTCCTCACAAAAGCAGCCCCTTTTCCTGGTTTCACATGAAGAAACTCTACAAAATCCATGGAAAAATGTTTTCAGCCTCCCAGGTTAAGGAATTAATTTTTTAATTACCACTATGATTCTAGTCACCAAGCAATTGGAAGATTCAGCATCATAAACGCAAACCAGCTATCAGAAAGATTTAACCTGCAAACATTCACCCTATATTACTTACTACATGCCTCCTCGGCTCTCCCACGCCTCCCCTGCCCCTCCCCCTCCCCAACTGAAAAAAATATCACAAGCTAATGGTCATAAATCATCATACAATTTACGGTGTACTACATTAAATTCACTTTCCCTTATCCCTCATTCTTGAAGGTATGGAGGATGATGAAGGGAGGCAGACCATCAGCTAAAATGGCCTAGTCTTTCCGGAAAGACAACAAAACAAACCAAACCCCGTCTTCACCACGCTCCACAGTCTATAATCTTCAATCCCCAAACCAAATATCAAGGATGCACTTTTTTCATTTGGACACTAAAATTGAATTGATGATAAATTGATAACCAATGGGAAGATATATTAGAAATCAAAATCAAAAGAATGCATGTCTTTTGGATAGCAAAGTGGAAGAGAAAGGGAAGGGATGGAAGAAGAAGGAAGGGTGAGGAATGGAATGGGAGGGAGAAGGTAAGGTTACATTTTCCCTCCATATCTTTCCAACATTGGAAGGATTGAGTTTATTAAAGAGGGAGGGAAAATGAATCCTTCCATTTCCCTTCCCTTCCCTCCTATCAAAAGGTATCCAAAGAAAGGAGGATGATTCCCTTCTTTTCTCTTCTCTTTCTTTCCCTCAATTCTCTCAATCCAAACAAAGTGTAAATCCCGTTTGAAAAGCTACTTCTAGTGGGTGTCAACCATCTTAGTTGCAAGAGTTATGGCCTCATGGGGGTGGTAACTATGACCACATATCGAATCCCGACTACATATAACCCACAAAGGATAACACTTTGCCAAGGAGTTCTCATTGGGGAAGGGGTAGCAGTAAAATTGAGCATTAGAGAGAAATACATTCCAAAAACCCAATTCTTTTGTAAAGCTATAAATCAACAAAATTCAAGAAGGCTAAATTAACAACACATTATTAAAAATATGTTTATATTCTCATTAATCCAAGATTATAAAAACTGAAAAGAAAAAAAAACGGAAATTGAAGCAAAATTGAGAGGATATAAAATACCTAAGACTTTCCAAGGAGCTCCATCCACCTCAAGGTTAGTCCCCACTTTAATGTCATTACTGCTCAAAGCATAAATCTCTGCAAGAAAATACATATAAATAAACGATTGACATAATTCCCATAAAAAATAATCAGAAATTCAAATTAAAAATTTCAAAAATAGCAAAAATTACTAGAAAAATATAAAAAAAAGATGAGAAAT